TTCTTTCTAATTCTGCATTTTTGATGACATAGAAAGCAGGACATGACCAAGGAGATTTGGATTTTCGAATGATACCATTATGAAGTAACTGGGTAATCTCTTTCTTGCAGATTTCCATTACTTCGTGGTTCATTTGGATGGGTCTAGATTTAATAGGAATATCTGTTATATTTTGGTATCAGAGCCATTTGACGGCCTGGATAGTTACCCATGCAGTTATATTTAAATCGTCTTACTTGTGTTAAATCTCTTCCATTTTAATTTAGTAAATTATTGTTTAAGTTTGGTCTACCCTTGTCACCCAGCCTTTGTCTCCCGAGAGAGAATAGTCGACCATTCCCATTTTGTAAGTCCTTGTGTAGGTAGTTTGAGGGAAATACAGACAGGTTCTGAGAGAATCAGTATGTTAGGGGGTATGTACAATGGAGTCAAAATTAAACAAAAATTTATAAAATTAAAAAATTAGATTTAACCATGAGTAGATTATTTAGATTTAACTCTATGGCTAGCTCATCTAGATCTTCATTAGATACTATACCTAATATAGTAAATGAAGAAAAACATGAGTTTGGAGAAACAAACGTAGATTGGACTGGTTGGAATATCCCAAAGGTATCCCACCGAGACATCTACAAAACTAGGTGGCTCCTTAAAACCTTTAATGAAGAATTACAGGTAAAAACTATTGAACAAGTTTATCCTCTCTTTAAAGATGAACAAAGTTGTCAACTGTTGAGTCTCAAAACCTTAAGAAACATAGGGAAAAAGGATTTAACTTTATTCACCTTGGTTTAGTACAAGTAGCTATTAAACCATTAATTCAACAAGGAAAAAATTCAGCAGCCTTGTTAACATTAAGAGATGCTAGGTTCCTAGAATATGAACCCAGTATTATTGGTATCATGGAAACAGGTCTTCATAAAGGACCAGTTTATTTCAATTGTTTCCTATATATATATATATATAGCGGTCTTACTAAACCCTCCACCTACATTGGGTGGCTTTGACAAAAAAAAGAAAAAAATTGGTAAGCCTAGTATATACAAACAATAACATTTTTTTTTATAAAATATTAACTAATTTAAATTATTTAGAATTGAATTCGGTGAATTTTTGTACTTTTAAAACGTTGCATAACAACTTTATTATTCTTTAGATACATAATTATGATATCACTTTACTATTTATAAATTATTTGATTGATTATGCAGTTTAATATGCACTCTATAATTTTTAACATAATTAGCAAAATAAATGTCAAAATCACAAGTAAACTAGCGAATATGTATATCATGTCTTTTTTAGTCTTAAAAAATATAAAATAATTCTAGTACATTCAAAATTTACCTAGATAGATACATAATCAACCCAAAATGTGTTAAAAAATTCATATTCATTTGATATAAATATATACTAATTGATAAGCCAAAAAAAATAGGGAAGACATAATTAAAATTATTCATCTGATATAAGTTTACATTAATATTTTTGTCTTTGATTTTGGGTGTACACAAATAATATATTATACAAATATAAAATATGCATACCTAACTAATAAACAAAAAAATTGAGGGAGGGCAAATGAACAAGGCTGCCTCCGCCCTTCCTCCAATCCCTCAGGCTCGATTTAGTTTGTATTGATTTTTGTTTTTAGAGAGATTTAGTGACTTTTTAACTTTTCCATAGGACAAAAAAAAAGTTATAATTTTTAAATGTAAAATTATAATTTTAAAAGTTAAATTACATCTATTAAAATTGAAGTTACAACTGATTAAATAATGAATTATAAATTACTTCAAGGATAATAATTATCAAAACATATTCAAGTACTCCAAAATTACATCTCATATTTAAAAGGTGCACAACAAGACCTTTAAAAAATAATAATTTTATGTACATCATCAAAACATATTCAACTACTCCAAAATTACCCTTCTTGTAAATTAGGGTATTCTTGTGCAAAAATACGTTTTTTTTAACCTCGTTAAAAGGTTAAAATATAAATTGTAATATAATTGACGGATTACATGATTTGCATCGTTGTTCACACTTTTTTATAATAATTTTAAAAATAAAATATAAGTCTTAATATAAATCATCAACCTTTTTTATATGAGAACACATATTGTGTCTTATTGTGTATTAACGATAATCTCTTGTTAGAAGGCATTGTGAAATACTAAAAATAAAATATTGTATCTGAAATATTTATATTTTAAATATTAATATATATTTTTTAATTATATAATTTAAAATTAAAATGAATAGAAAAAAAAAGGTAGTTGTGAATTGATTAAATTGTTTGACATTGAGGAATGTTTTGATGTGTTGAATGAATTATTTGATAAATTTTATAACATTGAATCGAAATAGATGATAATTGGATAAATTTTAATAGTTATTATATTTTTATAAATTTAGAATTTAATTTTTTAGTTATCTATATAATACTTTGATCGAAGAAAATCGAGTCGTACGATCCGAAGGTTCTATCTTTCAGTAACAGCGTTAACCCATGCACGTAAGCAGTTCGTCACCCCATACGTCAAATGACTGCATACAATACAATATAGATGCACTGGGGGTGGTCAAAATATTACCATGGTTAAAATATTTATTGTGATTAAAATATGAATAAATAATTAAAATATTTATTGTGATTAATATTTTAATTGTAAAATTAATAATAGGATCGTAATTTTAGATGATCTCGACATTGTTGTGTTTTTATTTAGAAGGTAGTTAAAATATTTACGGTGATTATTATATAAGATATAATAGTATTGGTTGATTTCAATGATTGTTATATTTTGACTTAAACGCATGTTAAGAGTTTGAATCTCAAAAATAACTCCTCTATATATACGAGTAAGGCTACTTACACACTCTTCAAACTTTGCAGCGGTAAAAAATCTCATGCATTGCACGGCCATATAACGAATACTGCTATAAAGTTTAAAGAATGGCGGGCCATGCATTTTGTTTCACGAAAAAACTCTCACCCACAGACGTTTCACGCAACTTGGAGATACCAAATGGGGCACTTGACTTACCTCAAGGAAATGAGATCATACATGTACTCGACCCAACTGGAGAGACCACCTGGGAGTTTATATGTTCAACAAGGAGCGGTGGTAGACGCTTGATGACATATCAATGGCGCAATTTTGCAGAGAAGAAGAGACTTATGCCCGGTGACGTACTCCGACTGCAACGGTCGACAATCGGAAATGTGTATCTCATGGAGCTTGAACGCCGTAGCATCCGACTCTTTGGGGTCACCATATACATCAGCTGAAGTTGGATATATATATACTAGATCTGGGCAGGGTTGCTTTGACTTACCCATGAACGTTACTTGTTTATCTTAATGAATTCTTCTGTTTTTTTTTTTTTGAGAAGAATGTAATGTATAAACATTATGTGAAAAATATTAGGGTATATTACAATGACCCCCTTTCTTGTTTCTGGCACTTTCACTTCACCACTGTTGTTTCTAAACTTTCACTGACATCTCTTATAGGCATATTCAGTTCAACAGCGTTAACTCATGTTGTAAAGTTACAATCTTGCTCTCCATTATTTTTCTTTTGCTTGTTTGGTTAAGAAAATACATGTATACATATATATTCCTCTAAATTTCTATAGCCACTCATTACCCATCACACATTTCGCCTAAGACACACTTGAACCAACCAGAATTCACACCAAATAATTGACACTTGAATATCTATAGGAAAGGGTTTTAAATACTGAATAACTTTTGAATGCATTTTAAGAAGATGTTATTACACGCAAAGAATTATCTATAAGTACGCATTGGGGCTGCTATGACAGAATGACTTGAATGTGATTTTTTGGTGGTTTAGTGTCGGAGAATTTAAGCTTTAATAGGTGGTTCAACGTTAAAAGGATTTAATTTTATGTTTTCATAAAATAAAATCTTCAGGATTGCGTTATGTTTACTATGAGTCTATAGTACACTTATTTGCCCAAGTTAATTTGGAGCTAAAGAATGCTTCAATGGCTTAGCTTGAGAGAGAAGAGCTTCAAATTGCAAAGTAGGAAGTTTATATTATCAAATCTGCTTACATCATCATAGACCTAAGGATTAGTTAGTTGAAAGGGGGAATCTGTTATAATCTGTCACATTCCAAGGGAATGCAGTGTAATTTTGAAAATAACAAGGGGTGCAGTGAAAATATCAGAAACAAGGAGGGGTGTCTTTGAAATTTACCCAAAATATTATGCATAAACATTGTCGTCTTTGTGTGTTGTTCCTCTTCTGGAAAGTTTTCTTTAGATTGACCAGATTATGGCAGATTGCTCGACCTGGAATATTTTAATTGCACCCGATTCACATTATCTTGTTATTCTGTAGAAGTGTACTGTTTTGTCCTTAGAAGTGTTTTTTTTTTGGTCCTTTTAGAAGGGTTCTTTTCTTTCAATTTTGGATGCTACAACGATTGATTTTGGCGGAGACGGTGCTGGAGGTAGTGGTCGTGGTGATGACTCACGGTGGTGCAATGGTCGAATTTCATCAAAATTTAATTATATATGCTACGTCAAATTTGGTCGAATATAACAAATGTTAAGAAATGAAAGATAGAAAAAGAGAATTGAGAGAAAATGAGTTCATTTTCATTACTGTAAATATGTATACAAAGACCAGTATTTATACAAAATTAGTGAGCACCGACTTCAACCATCTAACTAACTGAATCTAGGTTAATTAATTACTAGAATTAAATCTAACTAACTAACTAACTCCAACAACTTGTCATCCCAGCTTGTATCAGCTCAGATAATCTGCAGAAGAGCTCCAGTGGCGTTGATGTGAATGTAGATCTCCAGCAGTTGCTCTGCTGATGTCTGATGCAGCCGCTCTGCTGATGACTGATGCAGCTTGATTCCTATCTCTAGAGTTATTTGGTAGTTGATCATTCATATTTTTTCACTTTTAATTTTTTTTTAGGATGATCTTGAAGGAAAGGATCAGAGTTGAGATATAAAGAATGATAGATTTATAACGTTTGATTTTATTGTTGTAATATATTATTTGAGGAGATCTATTTATATTTCTTGAGGTTATTTTTATCTATTTTTTAGAAAATTAGAACTCTGGCCCTATATTTTAGATCTATTGTGTCAATCTGTCAATAAAATAAGGCATCTAGGAAACCAGGGGCATTACAATAAAATCATACTAGGAGAAAATGTCTGGGGTTGTACGAGAAGGACTTTACGAGTTAGAAAGTAGACATAAAACACCATTTTATGACAAAGTTCATTTTGTTTTGTGCGTGCCAAATTTCTTATTGGATGCTGTTGAGACAGTGAACCTAGTTGATAGTTTGTAGGGATTTGTCTTTTTTTTCAATGTTTGCGTGTATTGATTAGTTGTATGCATGTTTGTGTTGTAAAGCTGTTTGCCTTTCTTGTGAAACTTGAAGACTTTTCTCATTTTTCACATGACTTTTCTGTCTGTAAATAGAGTCTTTTTCCAGTTAATTCACAATCAGTTTTCATCCTCTATCTGCTACTTGTGGAAGGAAGAAAGAGAATGACACTTCTCTAACTCTAATAAAAAAAAAGGGGAGGGGGGGGGGGGGGTTTCTAATGTAAAGGAGTGAAGCTTTTCCAAATCCAATGAGAGACACAGTAGAGGAATTTGTATGCTAGCACAATGGGTGTCCAACAATGGCACTACCAAATGGAGAAGTAAGGTTGGGCAATGCAATGGAGAGAAAAGCTAAAGAGAAGAAGTCACTGTGGGGAACAATATATCTTAGTCTACCCAAATGGAGGAGCTCATTCATGCCCTCAACCCTCAGATCACTACTAGAGCTTGGGGCATGGGGGCCAAATAATGAGCCTAGATCCAAACTAGGTTTGAGCTCAGTTCGTAAATTGAATCCAAATCATTAAAAGGCATGCCAAGTTTAGCTCATGACTTTAGTCCAGTCCAAAGCACAAGAGTTTAGGAAGAGTCAACGCACGTGGGAGAGTACCCCAAGCCAGTGCAACGCATGTGTGTGGTCGATACAAAACTCATGTAGGTGCTCGCTTTGCTCACAAAAGTGTCTTATCCCTTGGAGCCTAACCCATAGAGCAAAATTGGGATTTAAATGCTCATGTAAATTTTCGTATCCAACTAATATGAGATTGGTGTCAAATCTCACATTATCCAACCTCTATTTTGATATTTGAAGGGAGTTATTTTGGAGTCTATTTTTTCATTCATTTCTTGCTCAATCTGAGCAAATAAATATTTTATGTTATTCTCCATATGGAGTAGAATACAAAACTCACGAAAATTTACTCAAATCAACGAGCATGTCCCACTTTAATTTAGGCTCAAAATCGACCAAAAATCAATTTTTATTTATTAAAAATTGATTTAGTCCAACACTTAAAACTTCAAAATCAACATTATAACGGATGTGAGAGAGAGAGTGTGTAATCCCATATGAGAGAAGGAAAATCTGTGTTGGGTGGAGGAGTTTCATTTAAGACTCACTTGTTTGTACGCGGCAACATGAAATACCAATATTGACACTTCATGCTGCTACACCAACAATTTAGGCCCATGATCAAAGGGTTATGGCTTTTTCCATGTTTTCTTGCATTTCAGGGAAATCAAAAAGGTAGAATTGGAATTCGACTATTCCGACAATGAGGGGCATCCTTCCCTTATTTAACTTAAATATTTTACTCTTTTGCTCAAAGGACTTTAGTGATCGTTTGAGCAACAAGACTTGCACTTGCCCTAAAAAAAATTAGTGAAAATTATTGGCCGGTATAATTCCCCAAGCCTTTAAGTTAATAGGTCCAAACACAAATTTTGGGATCACAAGGACACTTTTTATAATTTTTTGGACACGTGATCCATATTTGCTGGCAAATGATTTTTTTGTGACGATTTACCCATCCTTTCCTATTATAAAAAAATCTTCAAGATAAGGATGATAACGACAAGATCTCAAAGTTATTCATCAATCTCAGTCAACTTCTTCGTCTATTTCTTTTTTGTCACTGTCATCGGAGGGAACCACACTCTCCTCTCTAGATCGCCAGCGCGCACCATCTTTCATCTCATCTTTTCTCAAAACAGTGAACACCATCAAGCCATCCACTACTATGGTGTCATTTTTTTAACGACACTTGCCACTACCCTACGTTAGCCTTAAGTTTGGTTTCATGATTGATCAATACTTCATCTCCACACTTTCTTGACAAATAAGGAGCTAGAGTGTGTCTTTTTGTGGCTATGGTTGAACAGTGAAACCTAGAGTTCAAAGTGGGTGGCTAATCTTCCTATATTAAGTTTGGTATCAGATTGACGGCATATAACATGACGATGTTGAAATAGATTTAGGTTACTGATGAATTTTGGTTGGATTTATGTGGCTTCGTTTTGCTGGAATAGTTGGAGAAACTTGCATCAAACTAGTGACATGTGTGCCACTGTGACTGGGTTGAATGAAGTGTTATCTGTTGGAACGATAGTTCCAAGATTTATTGACGGCTCTTATAATTGAATACAAAAAATTATTCATTTGTTAACCCTACGAGATGGAATTAAGGTTTACGTTTGACAAGCAAAATAGCACGAACAAAAAATAGATGCAGATCAAACAATCGGCTCGATAAAACTCATGATCTTCTATCGTATGTCATTCCATATCAAAATTAGAATGTAGTATGAGCTACAATCCTTCGAATTTTCTCCCTTGATCTCTCTCTATCTCTTCTAAACTTGAACTTTCTAAACATGAAGATAAAGATTATGGTTGAGAGAACTAATGTATTTTTAGGTTCCAGTAGAGACTACCTTAAGGAGAAATAATGGTCGGACTTTCAATGGGGCATAAGAATCCTATATATGTCCAATTTATAACGTATATTCTACAGTTCATTAATAATAAGTTTGTCCACTAAAAACATATTATTGATCTCCCTACCCTTATCTTAAAATTATACTTCAAGCTCCCCGTTATTAAATGCTTAGTAATCTCATCATTTTTAAGATTAAAAATGTCATTCAATTAATTAAAATTATGTTTAATTGACTTTTTTTTATCCATGAGATCTTACCATTCAACTTATATGTCATGTAGGATAATTAAATTCACCTACAAAGTTTGACACAGATAAAACTTATGAGTTTTCTCAAGAGAACATCATTAACCTATTTAAATACTAGGACATGGTTTCCTTTAAGAATTAATTTCTACCATATAAATAATGGCATTTCCTAATTCACCAAGTTTATTGACTCAAAATATGAATCTCGCTCTTTGATGAATTAAAGTAATAATCATTAATTAAATATTTTGAGATTAAGAGTTTAAACAATCGTAATAGCCATGAGATATTTATTTTCTTATTTAGTTATTAAAAAGAAAATAATCTCAATAATGATCTTGTTCAATACACAAAATATACTAGTGCAACAATCCGAGATACTATATAGCCTCTTATAGCCAAAACAGACCATACCATAAGATTGCACTACAATGCTACTGATAGTTTGTTGAATTCCGTCTATGACTCTGAATCTTTATTCATATCATACAAGAATTTGATAATCTAATCTTCTGTGTATAAGTCGAACTATACACACTAGATTAAGTATAATATAAAATAAAAGATACACATACATAGTATATATTTAATATAATGCAAATATTTTAGTCATACAAATTCTCAAAAGAACTTTTACTAAATAATAAACCGAGTTTAATTACAAAAAATAAGTCTTTAGTATATAACTCTATCATTATGGTCAAAGTGTTGGGAAAATAGACTTTCCCACAAGTGTAAATCAATGGAAGCAATATAAATAAAATAACAGAAAATAAATAAGCACACAAGATTTACGTGGTTCCCTCAAATAACTTGAGGTACATCCACGACGACCGGTAGGTCAGTTTTTTCCACTATCACCAAATCAGATTACAAAGTGGCCAAAAAACATAAGCCTTACAAACACACCAAAGTGTAAATCACAAGAGGAAAATACCTCACAAAATAAGTGAACCAAATCTCCAAGAACAAACCGCAAGAAACCCAAATATCAAGTGAAGAAATGTTACCCACTTGAAGAACAAATTTGCAGATTTTTCTGGCACCAAAAAAGATAAGAAGAAGGCTGAATTTTTGTTGAACCAAAGACTGCCGAAAATATGTCTTCTTGCCAAACCAACGGAGAAGAGATGAACCAAAGAAAAGGACAAAACTTATAGTCTTTGGTGGCTGCCAAATTCCTTTTAACTTGAAGACTCCAAACCAAGTCTTGGATAAGAGTCATACACGGGTAAGCCACCAAAAAATTAGCAAATTGATGAGTCCCACAAAGGAGGGAAACCCAACAATTCTCCCCCTCCCGACTTATGTGGAGGATTCGACCATTCCCGCCAAAAGTCGACACTTCTCATGCTTGTCCTTAGTCAATGCCTTAGTTAACATATCCGAAGTGTTATCATCAGTGTGAATTTTTTTCAAGTTGTAACAACTTATCATTCAAGACATCACGAATCCAATGATATCTAACATCAATATGTTTCGATCTCGAATGAAATG